AATTGTTTTAGCAAGATAAATTTATTTTTCAAAAAACTAAAATAAAATTTAATCCTTGGTGTGTTCCTATGCTTTCTTTGTTTAGGTATTTTATTTTAAATTATATATTTTTTAACCCAAAGTGTAGATGTTTCTCATATTTGCAAGCTATTAAATGGGTTCACGAAATGATTATATTATTTTATTTAAGAGTCTTTAAACTATAAACTAAAAAATGTATAAAAAAGTAAGTCAAATGTTTTGATTGAAGAAAGCTCAACTTGCTAGCTACCTATATTATATTTAAATAAATATATATTACTTCTTAAATAAGAAATATATTATATTTAAATATTTATAAAATTATTAGGAAGATAATTTAAAGCTTTCTTAAATATTTATAAATTTGCCAAGATGATAATTCAAAGCTTTCTTAAGTAAAAACTCATTCCTTTTTTGCAACTAAAACTATTTTACAAGACTTCAAGCTAATAAGCTTTTCCCATATTATTAATAAAATATTTTTAGTTTAATAAAAAACACATATTCCTCTCAAAAAATGGGTTAAACTCTTTAAAATTTGATGTGAGTCCCCAGAGCGGAGGAGCATCCATCATATTTCAGTTGGCATAAAAAGCAAAAGTGTGTCTTGGGCTTTCAGCTTTCAGCCTTCGGCCTGATCTTGATTTTGCGTCATTATGATTCGCATACAGATTATACAAATTTCATAAAAATACAAAATATATATTTATATACTGGGTATATATTTTGAGTGCCTGAGAGGCCTGGTTGCCTCTTATGTTTATGAGACATCTGCAGGCAATCGCAGCAGGTCGCCGACAACGATCTTCATCCTCATCATCAACGGCCAAACCAATTTCATTCCGAGATTCGTTCAGCTGTCGGTGTTTGTGGGCTACTGTTTCGAATTTTTCAAAGTCGCCAAATAATTTTAATGATCTGGCACAGCGAACAAAGTACTAAATTAACTTAAGAGCCTTCTTCCACTCCACTTTATTTCGCCTTTTGGGTTCTTCTTTTTCTCTTCGTTTTTGGGCAGTGAAAATGATTTATGGCATTCCAGAAAGCCTAAGCTAAAAAGATACAGCTTCTGATTTGCTGATTTGCCTTTAAGGCAAAGAGAAAAGAAACTGCTAAAAAAATAAAGTTAAGTTGTTTGGCAGTAGAAGAGATATTAGTGGAAGAAGCAGTTGAAAAATATTGCAAGATCAGAGTGACTGAGAAATATATGCCAGAAATTAAATAAGAATATTTTTTAAATATTTTAAATATTAATAATAATTTTGGAATAATTTAAATCATTTGAAAAATGTTTTCAAAATGATTAAACACTGGGTTTCCTGACACCACTAGAAACATATATGGTCTATAGAATTAGCTTAACATATTTAGTAGCTTAGTTAACTAATAATTACTAGGTAAATTCTTCTTGTTACTCGATTCCCCGTAAAATAAATCATAATTGTAATTAATTTAGTGTGTTTCAAAAGCACCTGTGGTTCCTTTTCAATTTCATTTGAAACAAATAACATCTAATTGTAATATTAAAATATTTATAAAGACTTTTTAAGTGGAAGTTTTCATGGAATATATTTTAAATATTTGATTTCTGATGCTAATGTATTTGTACTGTAATTTCCATAAACTAAAGCCACTTGTAACTAAGATGATGATTTGTTTTTAAGTTTATTATTATAAAATTAGGAAAAATATTAAATGTCTTTTATAATTAAGTGTTTATTTAATTTGATATTGTTAGAAATGAAAACATAAGTGCTACTTTTTACAACAGAACTTTCTAAATGCTAAAATGTTTTTTGTAAAGAAAATAATTATTAAAAAATTGTTAATGAAAGATTAAACAAGAGAGCACTGAAAAAGTTTAATAACTAAAGTCTAAGCTTTATTAAAAAATAGTTTTATTCTATAAATTTAAAGTACAAATATGTATCTGATCTTTAACCCATATATTTGGGGTTAATTAACCCAAAAATTTGTTTCTTAAATAAAAAATAAACTAGGCATTACTCCTAAAATCTTTATAAACAAAAGCCTACTTAACCTTATGGGCTACTTTTTAAACCAGAATTTAAGCATGTTTTCAATTGAGAATTTTTAAAGTTTACTAAGACATTTTGGCCCTTTGTTGAATAAAAACCAATTGATAAAGATGGACGGGCAACAAGGAAGCTGGCGGCTACTCACCAGGACAACAGCCGAAGGTATTAACTTGCGATTCGCCCGCCTGATGGATGAGTGTTCTCTGCTGTTCCGTTTTTGGTTAAAAGTTGTTCTCGTTGAATTCGATTGCAGGATAATGCAGATAATTTGATTAGAGTTTGGCTTCGGTTCGGTTCGTTTGGGTTTTCGGGGTTGCTTTTGTTTTTTGGTGGCAACTGTACTTGAATGATGGCTTCTCGTTCGTTTATTGTTGTTGTTCTTGATTAATTGATTAATCAAACAGTTAATTTTTGCTTTTGTTTTGTTTTTTTGCACTCAAGTTAATATATATTGTGGGGTTCACTTGATAAATATGTTTATTTAATATAGATTTATGCACTTGAAAACACTGACATTACGCATACGCCATGTGCACGCCTGGGACTTGAAGTTATAATTGTAATTATTCGCTTGCTGGCTTCCTGGTAATTGCACACCACAAAAAGTGTCTTTATATGTATAACTGCTGGGATGCTGGTAAGCTGGTAAGCTGGAATAGTGTTTCTGCTGCAACTATAGCTAACTTCTCAGGGAGATTGCACGTTGAATGCAGGCTGACTCTCGTCCAGTGACTGAGCCAACGGTGCACGGAACTGCAGGCTTAGCCGAAGAATTGCCGAGAATCAACGGAAATCGACGACTGCCAGCCGACAGGATCTCGTTGTTGGAGGGGAATCCCCGAATGGCCAGCCGACCAGGTCCGAACGCACAAATGCGTGGGCTTCGGGTGGCCATTCGGATTCGGCTTCAGATTCCGGAAGGCTTCGCTGCAGCCAGGACTAATCCTGGCTGCTCCTGTTCCCAGCTGAACGTGGCTCCCAGCTCCGGCTCCGGCTCCATCACCATCACCATCTCCAGCTCCTTCTATGCCTCCCATTTGCATGGCCATGTATATATATATATGCCCACCCCTCTACCCTCTCTGTTCCTCGATGACCCTGAAGCGGTCTAACCCCCCACCGGGGCCTACGCACCAATCAAGGCTCTCCGCTCAAGGTCATACCGCTGACGGCCATTTTGGATGCACCGCCCGCCACGTTCAATGGCCGCCCACATGTATACACACGCCTGCATTTCCTGGGCCCAATGAGCAACGCTCAGGCCCACTCAGTCGCCTTGGCAACGACCTTCGGTAGGCGTCGCCCTGACATTGGCCGTGAATTTCCTCTCGGGGGTTGCTGCACATCCACAAGGTCATCCTATCGTCAGCTGTTTTCACCAGGGTTGTTGCCTTTTTGGTGGCCTTTGTGGCGGGCAAATTTCGAAATTAGATTAGCACTTCTTAATTAAAATCGAGTCGAAACAAAAAAACTCATTTCGTTTACTGGCCCATAAATTAATCAGTGAAAACAATAAAGATTTCAATATTATTTCCAACGACATCCGGCCGAATGCGGCACCAAATTTGGCGGAGAGACCCGAGCAGCCACTTTGCCAGCTCCACATATATGGGAGGGACACATAAAAAATTTATATATATATTTATAAATGTATAAATAAGAGTCTCCAGAAAGAATAAAGACGAATAAAACAAGCTAAAGTCTAACAAGAAAGCTGCGTTTTTTTTTAAACGAAGTTGGGATACTTTTTGGTTGTGAAAAAACTAAATAAATTTAGGGAAGATTTATGGAACTATAGAAAATTATATATATACTGAACTATTTTAAAAAAATCTTATATTATATTATTTATTAATAAAAAGTATGTATTATTGATTAAAAATAAAATATAAATCTTTTTTATTGTTAAAAAATATATACAGGTATTTAAAGTGAATATATAATTATATTAAACAGGAAATAAATATGCTGATATTTCTTTCCAAATCAATTTTAAATTATTTTTGAAATTATAAAAAATATTTAAAAGTGATTTTAGTGAATGAAATCAAACTTTTACTCTTGATAAAAGCTTTTTTAACAAATGTTTACTAGATTTATAATAAATATCACCTAAAATTTTAACCAAATTAAAGCTAAAATCATTTATAAATGAAATAAAATCATAGAAGAGATTATTTATACATTTAAATATAATTAACAACATATAATTAGGTAAAATTATAATAAAGAATATTACAAGAGCTGCTAAAATAACACCAAAAACATAAACTATTTGTAAACGAATTAATTTTAAATTAAAAATGAAAAACAGAAAGTAAACAAACTTTTGGGATGAAATTTGTGTAGCGAAATCTCCATGGCACTTTATGAAATATCTATCATAACTAAGTCAAAAAAGCATTAAATTCAATTCGGAAAGGTTTTCTGTTCTAGTTTTTTGGCAGTTGAACAAATCTGTATACTAAATTTAACATATTAAGAAATTAAAATTTTTCTCAATTTTTATCAAATTTTGAAAAAAATTTAAAAAAAAATTTTATCTTCCGGACATGGCTAAAAAATTCGTCTGTTGTTGCTGATCAAGAATATATATGATTTATAGGGTCGGAAATGATTCCTTCACTGATTTTCAAGCTCCTGACTAAAATATAATACCAAAAATTATAGAAATATATATAAAAATTAGGTTTATTTTTCACGAAACAACCCAACAATAACCAACCAAAGTATATCCCCCTAGAAAGAGTATTTCCATTGGAATTTCATTAGATTTTTTTGCTTGTTTGGGAAACTGGACATCTTCCCCATTGTTTTGGGGCCGTAAATTGAAATGCCAACAAAATGTGAATCATCTAATCAGGGCAAACAAAAACAACAGAGAAAAAACCAACTGCCATTCAATATAAAGACACAAAAAACATTTCGACCAACACATATAAATATATATTTACAAATAAATGCAAGAGAATAAAAATAAATGAAATTTCATTGTGAGATTTCATTGAACAGCAAAATGCTCAATGAGTGAAATGTATCAAAGTTTGGCCTCCACATTGATGTGTGTGCTTTTTCATGTTCATTTGATCCGCAATAAATTCCTCGAGTGCTTGCCACCACCACTGACGTCACAAGTGTCCTAGATTATTGGCCAAGTGGCAGAGGTAAAGCGCTGACCTCGAGTTGAAATGTTCAATGTATATAAACACGTGCACGTGCAAAATATTTATTTGAAAGCCTGCCTTTCCGTTCATTTCCAATTCCATTTCATATCCTGGCCAAGCTACATCCTTTCCCCATGCCTGGGACCCAGCATCTTTACCACATTCCTCTCGATGGCATCTCGGTTGGCCATCAGACGTCTCAATCTGGCTTCGTACTCCTCGTAGGGCTTGAGGTTGTGCTCTATTGGAGCTGGCCATATAGTCTTTAAATCCGATTTTATGTATTCCATTTTGGCTCCTGATGGAAAGGTAGTAAGTCCCTTATTCAGAGATTGGATGCCTAAACCTGGCAGAGAGATATCTTCCTTGTTTTGGGTGAGAAGTTTCGGTTGCATTGGATTGTTTTCTAGTTTCTGATCTAAAGCCAACTTAAAATCCTCCTGATTATGCTTTTCTTGACCAGGACGCCACTGCTTGTCCTGAAAATACTTTGACTGTTTGAAACATTTCGTCTTTGGTGTGGGCTCTTTGTCTTGTTTGCACTTTCCGTTGGTTCCTTTTGACTTTAGGTTACCCACTTGCGTTTCTATTTTATTGACATTCCCCAGAATGGCCTTGATGTGACGCTCTATGGAAGCCATTAGGCAGGAGATCCTGGCCACAAATGCCGAATCGTCCACGTTTAACTTATCATTCCCACACTCGTCACCATCGTCATCATCATCGCCGGATGCCGCATCAAGATCCTCGCCATCATCCTCGTTTTTGGCTATTTTCTTGCGATTCAACTGAACAGCGGAATAGTTCTCATAGCTCACATCGGCGGGGTTTTCGGCTGGACAGATTGGTATTCCCATTTGTGAGCTTTGAATTGGATTGAGATAATCCATTTCGTTGCTTCTGGGATGATTTGGCATGGCCAGAAATTCAGGTTGTTGGGCAATCAAGGAGTAGTCCTGCCTTTGGCACATTAGAAAGTTCAGCAAGAAAGAGGTGATAATAAATATATTAATTAAAATAGCCATATTTGTATTATTTTTGGGATATTTTGGGGGTATTGAAAGTTAGAGCCAAGTTAATAGATGATTTATAAATATATTTGAAAGTACTGAGACACTTTAGAAAAGGTTAATATGATTGAAATGTTCTTCTTTATTATTATTATATATTTTATTATTTAAAATATCTCCTAAATTGTTTATTAAATAAGTAAAAAGTGTTTAAAAGTTAACTGATAACTGATTAAATGTATTTAAGAGCTTTCCCTGCTCACAGATTTAAATTGTCAATTTCAATTTGACTTTTATTTCTCCTCTCCATTCACATCACAGGATATAGCTATATATATACACACACATCCACAGATGCCGCGGCATTGGACCAAGCTAAGCAGTTAAGCTGGCACGCTCAAGTGGCCATGGAGTCCTTCGCCAGGCGGTTCGTTTTCCTCAATGAACCAATGCTGCCGCCCACGCAGCGTCATCAAGGAAAAATACCAAAGAGAGGGGGCAGAAAAAATAGGAAAATAAGAGGAAAAAAAACTTACCTTCCACAAGTTGCGGCAGGACCTACCGCTGTGTATGTGTGCGTTTGTTGCCCTAGTTCCACAGTCCTTTTACTGTGTGGATGCCATTTTCTTCGTGGGGACGCTGTTTTCCTTGTGAATGAAAATCCTTGTTCGCTCTCGCCCGCTCTTTCGAGTCTGTGTTTTTTGGGGCCTGCGGTTCGGTTCGGGCTCTGCGGGGATTTCCTTTTTTTTTCCACGACGATGGACGTCGGGGAATGTCATTCTTGAATTTTTGCCCCATCTTCGCGCATGTGTTTTTCCCCCTAAGGTAATGGTTGGGGGGGCCAAGAAAATCAATGAATGAACATGGAGACACGTAGCCCACGAAGCAGGATGTGTCTTTATATTTTTCCTCAATGAAAATCACACACATACACTTACACTCTTTTGATGGGCATTAAATTTTTGGCAAAGAAAATGCCGCACACATTTCCTTTGAATTTTAAGTGCACCTTGCATGTGCCATTTAAGAGGGAATTACGTGCCAGAAATAACGTAATGCGATACGGTAGGCACTTGGGAACGGAACTCCGCAAACAACTCAATAGCAGCACATTCGCTCTGGCTGCACTTCTATTAGGTGCTTTTCATTTTTATTACCCTTTTCTTTTAGTGCCCATTTAAGAGACTTTTTAGAAACTGTTGTTTTAGCAGAAGGTGTACGGGAAAACACCTTTACATTTTTAGTTCCCTAAATTTTTATATTTTAAGAAACAATCTTATTGCTATAAAAGTTAAGTCTTCTTACATTTAGAAAGTTTTTTTTATGATAACATTTTTTTTTTCAAATTTAAATTTAAATTTAAATCTTGATTTAAGAAAAACGGCGTTGTTGTTATGGTAAGTAACGATGTAATAGCACTTGGTTAACATCACTAAAATAATAGCACCAGCCAGGAAGCTTTACTTTATTCCAAAAATGTTAAAACCAGTTGGGAATTATAAGTGCACACATTAAGGTACTTGTCAAAACAAATTGTAGGTAGAAATGATCATGATTTAACGAAAAATTCACCAGTAAAAGAAGAAGAAATATAAAGAAATAAATATATAATAAAAAATTTTAATAGACTTTCTCTGAAACTACATCCGCCCACGTAAATAGGATTAAATCCTTTCAAATATTTCCCCAATAAAACTTTAAGCACGGCTTACCTTGGCTATTAAATGACCCGCTTTAGCAGATTATCCAATTTTTAATAGACAGATTCTCCCTGATTACAAAAGTCCTACCCTTTTGGCAGCTACACAATACACATACAATAAACATATATCTGGCTGGAGAGCAGGCAGCCCCATTAATGGCGCTGGCACTTGACAAAACATTAGCTCGAGGACGAATGCCTGGCAGGGTAGACGAGGATATATACCACACACTTGGCCCACTTGAGCCCAGTTGAAGGATACTTGCAGGCAGCATTTGCGTCATTCACAAAACTGAGCAGAGACTCGTAACTTTGCTGCTGCTGCTGCTACTGCCGCTGCGACACAATTGTCCTTGGGGTGAACGAACCTCGTTGGCGGATGACCCAGTTTTTTGGGCTGCAGGCAGGACTCCCCCATTCATCGGCATCCTTGGCGCGTTCAATGACACACAGTGCAAGGAGCGGCAGCAGCAGCAGCAGCAGCATCCTGGCTATGAATGAAAAACGGACCTCTGCGCATGCCAACTAGGTCAATATCCTTTCCACCGATGACGTCACCAGTGACACAGTTTAACACACAAACACAAACACATTTTGTTTTTTTTTTGCATAGCTTAACTTTTCTCCTGTTGTTGCATTTTATTCTAGATTCGCTTTTTAACAAAAATCGCAGGCAATAATTGGGTAGAGGGTCGAGGTTTTTAGTTTTTTTTTTTGTTTTTGTGTAAAGAGAGTTTTACAAAAAATTTGATTTAAAACCATTATAACAGAGTACTTTTTCAAGCGACTACGACTGACTGTTTAAAAAATGAAACTAAGCTTAAGAAGAAAGGATCCAGATCCTCCTGGTAACGAGGACCAGGACACACCACAAGCGCGCACAGTCTGTAGTTTAATTTGTTTCTTTAACTTTTCTTTTTTGTTATTTTTTTTATGTTTTTTTGCTTGTACGTTTAAGCTGCTGATAATTTTGGCAAAATCGAATTTATTTACAAGATCTCAAAGAGCTTTTTCAGTTCCACCATCAGCGACCAGTCCGCCTTGATCAGGTCATCGCGGAAGTAATCCTTGCAGGCATCGATGCTCTGGCGTGAAATCTGCAAAAAGGAAGAGGGGAAAAGGGTATAAATTAAATTATATTTTAAGAAGAAAAATCTTTTATATATGTGGAAGGATCTACATAAAACGTTTTCTTATAATTTACTCATTTAATAGCCTTTAAAATTCATTTAAAAATAAAATTCATTGAAAATTCATTAAAAATTCATTAAAAATTCATTGAAAATGCATTACAAATTCATTGAAAAATCATTAAACAATTCTTGAAAATTCATTTATGTAAAGCTTTAAAATGATAATTTACCATTTTATCGCCTTACAAATTCATTCAAAATATATTGAAAATTTCTTGAAAATTAATTAATGTCAAGTTTTCAAGATCTAATATACCATTTTAATTCCTTAAAAATGTATTAAAAATAAAATTACATAACCTTTATTTGAAATTTATTGAAAACTCATTAAAAATGCATTAAAAATTCATTTGAAATCAATAGAAAATCCACAGAAAATTCATTGATGTGAAGTTTTCAAGTTCTTATTTACTATTTAAATTCTTTAAAAATTCATTAAAAATAAAATCATATAAAATTCATTTGAAATTCCTTTAAAATTCCCTGATATAATGTATTTGCAAAACTTTCCTCATTTAATTTCCAAATTAATCAATTTCAAACCCACAATTTCCTAACCTAAACCCCATTTAAAGAGAAATCACCAATTCCACAATGAAATTGTAATTATAATTTGTGGCTTTTTTTTTGTAGCAGCGTGTGCCTTTAAATGCATATTAATAACACGCTGCGCTACACATAAATCATTTTGCATTATGGATTCAGCTAAAATGTATAATTGGAACGTGCCAATTGTCATATATAACTCCCACCGATTTCTCGGGGCTGGGTTAAAGAGATTCAGGATGCGGCTGCTTCATCAATCAAGCAACGGGGCGGCACGTGTCGTTGGTGTTTCGCCTTCACTACCTCCACCTCCTCCTCCTCCTGCTTCTCCCCGAACCCCGACATATGGCGCATAACAATTAAAATCATTTTTAACAATATTTTTTTTCTCTCTTCCATATTTTTCGTATCCGATTCAGCTTTAGGTTTACTTTATGCCCCAGCAACGCTTTATCGAAGCTATTTTAGTGTCGCCATTTTTTATGGCGCTTTTTTAATGCGTTTTTTAATGCCTCCTCGCGTTTATGGCGAGACTCCCCAGTCTCAAGACCTTATGAATAGTTCCACTTTACGGACCCCCTAAAAGACCCTTGATAAAGAGCCAGCCCTGCTTCTTTTGTCTGTGGTTATTCTCCCTCTTTAATTATTATTTTTATACCCATTCGTAGCTGCTCTTTTTTTGTTATATTTATTTTTATTTTTTGGCGCATCGCATATTAATTAGGCCCGATCAATGCTTTTGATTATGGGAAACGTATAATATTTATGGTACAAAAGATTTCTCTAAACGATAAGGGGGGAATAAAGCCTCTCTCAAGGAGTCCCCATTTATGGCCATGCATATTAAAGCGAATGGACGAGTCTTTTGTCCGCTTTCGAGAGTTGAAGGATATCGGGGGAGTCGTTAAAAGACAGAGCCTGAATTTTAGTATATATTGATTGGTTATCTATGGGGCTTAATTTTAATGCTTTTTTGGGCCTGGAATTGTATAGGGGAATAATAAATTCTTTATGATATATCAAGGTTTTAAGGTTTCATTAAACTATCGATAGAGTTATCGATAATATATTGAGATATATTTAATATTTGAATTTTTAATTGTTAATTGTTAAAGAACATATACAAAGGATCTTTTAAAAAGTCGAACTGTCATTAACAGTATTTTGAGGTACAGTAAAACATTTAATTTATCGATTTATCGATATGTTTAGCTTGATTTTAATCACAAGCACAAAATTAATATTTTTTTATATTTGAAACAAATTTTTTAAAATGTATATATTTTTTGTAATTATACCAAATATTTTTAGTTTTGCTTTGGTGATCGATATATATCGATTACGTATTACTTTACTTTGCCATCTCTAATTTAAAATGCTGATTTCTCATTTTATAACTTCCCCTTGATGAGTTCCCTTCATTTAGATCAAATTTCAAATTTTTCTCTCACAAACTTTGCACACTCATAACAACCTTAATCGGGACTTTAAAGTTTTCACAACTCTGTTGCAATTTCCACTTGATTAGCTTGCTCCAAAAACCCATTAAGCCCCGACCTAATCCAATCAGTCTCAACTAATTGCTGCTATTTTTAGAACCCCCAAACACAAGGCCTTGCCCAATTTTCCGAGACTGAAAACCCGCAAGGCCGAA